AAAGGATTATATGTGTAATTAATTTAGACTATATTTTAAAACATGGTATATACATAGAAAACAGTTCTTACTGAGAAATTACTGGATAGGAACCAAAGCTGTAAAAGTAATTTAAAATTATTTCTTGTAGCAGATTCATATAAATATTTCTTTTTCTCATCTACTGAAAAATCCAAAGAAAGCATAGTTTCAGAAAGAATCTAGTGTTAACAAAAGAATAAATAAATATTCTAAAACATTTAGCCCATTAAGACAAAATTCTCAAGCATGGGAAGTCTGTACAGGACTTAAAGTCTGTAATACTGTTGTTGTTATTATTAGTTCTTACTGAGTTGATTATAACCCATGCACAGACTTAATGCATTCAGAGTATAAAATAATCTTGATATTTGCTAAGAGGGCATGACGGATCAGAAAAAGCAGTGTGGAAGAGGTAACGAGTGACATTCCAGAGGATTGGAACGTCATCCCTAGACTTTATCACAAGAAAAAAGAACATTTTCTGCCTTTCAAAATCTTAATAGTTGCTCACTACCATTAAGTTGGGGAGCTGTGGAGGGTCTAGTGCTAAGGAGCTACACTATAATCCCAAAGGCATATGGTTCAAATTCACCAGCACGGGAGAAAGATAAGCAATCTCCTCCTGTGTGATTGACTGCCTTAGAAAAGCCACTGGCGGGTCAGCTAAGGGTCAGTTCCAACTCGGTGGCACACAACAACAAGCACTACCATCAAATTAGAACTAACTCATAAGTGACCCTCCACTGGATTTTTTGAGGCTGTAAATAACATAGAAAGAGAGTGCCCATCTTGTCCCTTCCTTGGTGGACCTGACCTTTGAGTTAGCAGCATAATTCCCCACAGACTACACCATCCCATGTGAGTCCCCTACAACAGCAGCAGCTGCTGTTGTGTGCTGTCGACTCAGAGCCAACCCACAGCTGGCCTCCAGAGGGTTTTCAGAGGCTGTAAACTGTATGAGAGGAGACAGGCCATCCGTCTCTGGTAGATTAGAACCTCATGCCTATGGGATTGCAGCATGGTTTCAGTGGACTCTAAGTATTTAAGTAGTGGCTGTCACCTAGTTAATTCTGCTTAGCTCTTACCACAGGTAACTTACCATACACAGTGAAGATCCTACATGGGATATACTTTCTGAGAGACCACCTATTCATGGAGAAATGCCTCTTTTTGAAGAAAATATGGACTCTTCATTTGAACCAGTATCTTGGCACTGGGTCCAAGTTAAGATTTTAGGTTTCTTAAAATAAAGTTTTGTCATAGGCATTCTAATAAAGTCTCCATTAATTAACTTCTTAGAAATGAACTTCAGCTCATTTGGAGGCTCCTGTGTGAAGTGGCTGGATTCTGGAAGGTGGGTTCTCTCTTGTTTTGGTTGAGGGTCTGGTGTGGACTGTTTGGCTGTTTTTTATTCATTCACAACCAGGTGTGAGCTGATTACATTTGCTGGATTTAGCTAACAATGAGCTGTTGGAGGACCTGTGTATTTAAAAGTCAGTGTTAATTGTATTTGGGACTAACATTCTTCTAAGTGGTAGAGCACTGGTCTGTCAATTTGCTGTACTGAGGTAACTTGAGGTTGCTGTGATGCTGAATGCTGTGCCACCGGTGTATCAAATGTCATAATGGTTACCCATGGTGGACAATGTATGGTGGAGCTCCCAGATTAGATAGGCTTGGAAGCGGGAGTGGAATCCACTTCCTAAACTCCATGAACTTAGAGAAATGATGATAGTTACAGAACAAGGTTCAGGTCTTTTGTTCATAGGGTCACTATGAGTCAGGCTCAACTTGATAGCACTTAACAACAACAATGAATTAACTCCTTAGAAATGAACTTCAGCTACAATAAAAACAACTTATCAACTGTAAAGAGCTGTGGTGGTGTGGTGCACTGTGGGTTGTGCTGCTAATAAAAAGGTCAGTGGTTCTAATCTACCATCCATTCCACTGGGGAAAGATCAGTTGTCTCCTCCCAGTAAAATTTACAGTTGAATAGTTACAGTAGGAAGTCGATGGAGGGTAGCAATGAGGCAGAACTGACTCCACAACATTGAGATTTGTCAATTCATTGAGATTTGTATACCTCACCAGCATCAAGAATAACAGCTATTAAGGCTGGGTCACCCAGTCACTGCAGATCATCACACAGAGAGGTCCTAGTTATTTCAACCTAAGGGAAGGGAAGGTGTGGAACACCAGCTGCACTGACTGCAGTGACAAAGGCCATCTCTCTGCTCTGAGTTGATTCTTCCTCACAGTAACCCTAAAGGACACAGCAGACCCATCCCAAGGGCTGTAATCCTTACAGAGGCAGGCGACATCTTTCTCCTGCAGAGCAGCTGGCGGGGTGGAGCTGCTATCGTTTTAGTTAGCAGTCACATACCTGAACCACAGTACTGCCAGGGCTCCTTATAAAGAGGTGAAATGCTATGATAAACCAAGTACCTGACTCAAATGCAAAACCTTGATAATTATCAAAATAGTTTATATTTGTATAGGCCAAAAGGTCAGCAATTCAAATCCACCTGCTGCTCTACAGGAGAAAGGTGAGCCGTTTCCTTCCATAAAAATGTACAGTCCAGGAGACCTGACTATGAGCCAAAATTGACCATGGCAGCAGGCTGGGGTTTTCATTCTGTTTGAGGCAGGGTCAATGTAAAGGCTATTAACAGGAGCAAGAACAATTCTGCATCTTTTCAAACACAATTCACATCCCAGTGTTCCCAATATACCTATAAAAAAGGTGCAACCTACAACACCCTTTTTCTTTCTATCTTCAGTATAATAAAATCAGAGTAATAATCAGTATAATAAAATCAGTCATTGCTCACAATGACTAGGGATGATAGAAGGAAAAATGATGCCTTTGAACTGTGGTGCTAGAGAAGAGTATTGAACATACCATGGACTACTAGGAGAACAAACAGGCTCATTCTAGACAGGAGAGGCCAGGCTCCTCTTTGGAAGCAAGGATTCAGAGGCTTCGTCTGACATACTTTGTACATGTTGCAAGGATGGACCAGTCCTTAGAAAAGGACGTCATGCTTGGGAGGTTGGAGGGACAGTACAGGAGAGGAAGACCCTTGATGAAATGTATTGACTCATGAAATGTAGTGACTGGGATAATGGGGACAGGTGTGTCAGAGACAACAAGATTGACACAGGATAGAGCAGAGTTCATGGCTGTTGTACATAGGGTCGCTGTGAGTTGCAAGTGACTCAACGGCACGTAATAATACAATCTAACAAATGTGCTGTCGTCCATTCAATTCCAACGCATAACGACCAGGGTCCATAGAGTTTCTAAGGTGTTCCAACTACTGGCCTTTAGGTTAGCGGATAACCATTTAAAACAATGCACCACCAAGGCCCCTTAAAATGTAACCACTGCCTTGCAACTAGAATCCAAGTTTATCCTTTCACAAGGAAATGGCTCCATCTAGTGTCCATACTTGAATTACACTGTGTCATAAACCCATGAGTTTTCAGATAGTAAACTGCATGGGAAGAGACTGTAAATCTTGACCCTGCAAAGTAGCTGGTGGACTTGAACTATATGTCTTTGGGGCTGGCAGTATATTAACTCCTTACCCAACACCTCAGGCCATCCTTAAATTCTGAAAGGCATGATTAGTTATTTATGTGTTTGTCTAGTGTACAGGCCTAATAGCAAGGCATTGTGCTTGCCAATCCAAAGGAATAAATTTCAAATCTACCAGCTGCTCCATAGAAGAAATATAGACAATCTCCTCCTATGTGATCTACAGTCTCCTGAAACCCACTGCAGGGCCAAAGATGATTCTGTTCCAATTCAACGGCACCTAACAACAACAACGTCTAGCGTACACAGAGAGCTCTGATAGTGTAGTTCATGGTGACTTGCACTACTAACCCAAAGAGCACTATCTCTTACAGCTCAAATTCACCTACAGTTCTAAAGGATAAAGATGGGCAGTCTCTGCCCATGCAGTTCCCAGAGATCCAAGGGAGGGTTGGCGATGAGCTTGTTTCAACTTGATGGTAATGCGTTTGGGCTTTCTAGTATGTGCGTATGTGTATAGTTCATATATTGTTTTTACTACCAGTTTAATTTGCTTTGTTACATATATAGGTAAATAGTCAAAATCATGTCTGCTATCTAATTTCTAAAAAACCAGATATATTGAATTTTTTAATATTTGAAATTTTCACTTTTAAACTTCCACATTCCTTCACAATCCACTAACACACAGTATTTAGAGGTAACTGAGAAACCAGGGGAGACAAAATATTTCAGCATGATTAACCATTCTTCTTGGAAAAGGAAACTCATTTATTCTGGAGGAGACCAAGGAAGATAAATCTCTCCTATTTCCAAGTGTTAGGAAGTAGAATACTAAAAAATAAATATTTACTTTAGAAAAATGATAAATCTTTACTTCAAATATATTAAGCTGCATTATAACATATTCACTAATTCCTATGCCAATGTATGTTGTTGTTGTTGTTGTTGTTGTTATGTGCTGTCGAGTCAGAACTGAGTCATAGCCCACTGTCTAGTGGATTTTTAGGCTGTAAATCGTAGAAGAGACTACCCATCTTTTTCTCCCACGTGGTTAGTGGGTTTGAACCACCTGCTTTTGAGTTGGCAGTATAACGCCCTACTCACTTGGCCACCAGAGCTCCTCATGCCAATGTATAATGGCAGGTATTTAAGAAATTATATTTGTTCTCACTATACAATGTCCTTGGGCAATTTCAGAATAATGGTTGAAATGTTTTCTAAACAGTGTTTATTGTTTTCTTTTTCAATAGCTTAACACTGTGATGGAAAAAATCAACTGCCTCATTTGCTTAGTATACCAGTAGGTAAAAGTAATTTTAAAGTACATTTACTTAAAATAGGTGAAGACATAAAGCATATCATCTTCTCTTTTTCTCACACAGAAGTGGGAAGCGGAGAGGTGAAGGCTGCACACCACCCCAAGCAGCAGTACCTGCGGAGTGCTGGGTCAGCCTGGGCCTCGTCGGTGATGAGCTCCTCCTCGCTCTTGGCAATGCGCAGGGCCAGCTCCCGGTCCCGCCGCTCCTGCTCCAGGACAGCCTGCTGCTGGGATTCCTCCTCCCGCTGTCTGGCCAGCTGCGCCTCCACTTCAGCCTGCCGAGAACAGAGAGACAACTTCACCCAGGGGGCTCCACTTGTACAATGGGCCATCCCAATGGTTATAAAACAAACCGAACAGGAAAAATATGCTAGTTCTTCTCATCAGGCTCCATTCTCTTTTATATGTTTGAAAGTTTCAACTTTCAAACACATTTCCCTCATTCCTCTCTTTGCCAACTCCAAGAGAAGGTAGAAGGACCATAGCTCTACCATTGCGTATAAGTAGCCTTAATACCACAAGTATTCTAGGTATCACTAAGACAGACTAAAAAGAAAGGAATGGCAGTTTACTCTGGAAATTTACAATGGTCACCCACAGGATAACAGAATATTGTCCAATACAAGGCTGTAAAGAGTCCCCCAGGTTAGAAGACACTTGAAATTCAACGGAGGCTTAACAATGTACTCAAACACACCAATGATCATAAAAATAGTATAGAACTATGCAACATTTTTGCAATCTTATGTATAGAGCCCCTATATAGAGAGCCCCTGTGATATGGCAAGTGAGGCTGAGCCCTTAAATTTGGAAATACAATAGAGGAGGAAAAGTTGTAAGCAGAAACCAATAATTGGAACATGGAATGTGAGAAGAATGAATGCAGGAAAACCGGACACAGAATGCACTAATATTGACATATTTGGTATTGGCAAAATGAGATGGGTTGGCATTTTTAATCAGACAACCATATGATCTACTATGCTGAAAAGGTGAGAAAAAAAAAACAGGTTAGCTTTCATAGTTAAAAAGGGCATTTCTTGGTCCATCTTGAAATACAATATTGTAAGTGACAGGATAATATTAATACCACTATCATTCAATTTACACACCAACAACCAGAGCCAAGAAGGAGGAAATAGATGATTTCTACCATTTCAGTCGGAAATGGAATGAGCATGTAATCAAACTGCATTATTAATAATTGGCGACTGGAATGCGGAAATTGGGAATCAGGAAGAAGAATCAGTAGTAAAAAAAATATGAAGTTGGTGACAGAAATGAAGCTAAGGTGAGGATGACAGAATTCTGCACAATCAATTATTTATTGATTGCAAATACCTTTTATAAGAAACAAAAATGCAGGCTATATACATGGATTTCACCTGATGGTATGCACAGCAATCAGCTCAATTACATCTGTGGAAGGAATCATTTGGAGAAGTTCATATCAGCAGTGAAAACTAGGCCAAGTGCTGATTGTTGAAAAGACCATCAACTACTCATATGCAAGTTAAAATTAAAGCTAAAAATGATCAAATCATATCCACAGAAATAAAAATTTGATCTTGAGTCTATCTCTCCTGAATTTAAAAACCAACTTAGGAACAGGTTTGAGGCCTTGCACACTAATGAATGAAGACCAGATGATCTGTGGAAAGATATCAAGAATATCATCCATGAAGAATGCAAAAGGTCATTACAAAGAAGGAAGAAGAAGAAAAGTCCAAAATGGATGTCAGAAGAGACTGAATAATACACTAAAACACCGAGAAGTCAAAGAAAAGGGAAGAAGGAGCTGAACAGAAGATTAAAAACGGCAGCTTGAGAAGACAAGGCAAAGCATTATAATGAAATGTGGAAAGAGCTGGAGTCAGAAAATCAAAAGAGCCAAAATACTTTTGCATTTCAAAAGCTGAAGGAACTGAAGAACAAATTCAAGCCTTGAATTACAATGCTTAAGGATACTATGGGGAGAACACTGAATGATTAAGAACATTAAAACAACAAGGAAGGAGTATACAGAGTCACTGTACCAAAAAGAAACAACATCTGATGAAGAGGCAATAGTGACAAAGGAGGAAATTCAGACTGCTCTGAAGGACCGGGCAAAAAATAAAGTCCTAGGAATGGATGGACTATCAACCTATATATTTCAACAAACAGATGCTGCCCTGGATGTGTTCAGCAGGTTGTGCCAAGAAATCTGGAGGACAACTACATGGCCAAGTGACTGGAAGTTGCTATTATTGATTGTCGTCAAGTCGAAAACAACTCATACTGACCCTAAGAACAAAAGGCCTAAAGCCCTTCTATAACTATCGTCATTTATCAAAGTTCACAGAATTTCCAAAGGCATAAGAGATCCATATTAATTACCATTCAAAAAAAAGGTGACCCGATAGTGTGTGGAAAGTATTAAACAATATCACTAATATCACACACTAGCAAAATCCTGCTGAATATTAACCAGAAACCACTGGAACAGTACATTGATAGAGAACTAGCAGAAATACAAGCTGAGTTTAAAAGAGGTCGAGGCATTAGAGACATTATCAGCAAAGTCAGATGATCTTGACTGAGAGCAGAGAGGACCAGAGGAATGTCTATGTTTCATTGACTATGCAAAGGCATTTTACTGTGTGTATCACACAAATTGTGGCTACCTTTGAGAAAAATTGGACTACCAGAACACTTAATTGTGCTCATATTGAAACCTATACTTGGACCAGGAAGTAGTCCTCAGAACAGAGCAAGGAAGCACTGCATGGTTCAAAATCAGGAAGGGGGTGTGTCAGGGATGTATCCTCTCCCCACACCTTTTCAGTCTATATGCAGAACTGATCATCTGGGAGGCTGGGCTTTATGAGGAAGAAGGTGGCATCAGCATCGAAGGAAGATTCATCAACAACCTATGCTATGCAGATGACACAACCCTGCTTGCTGAAACTGAGGAGGACCTGAAGCAGTTGCTGCAGAACATCTAGGACTATAGTCTTCAATGTGGAGTAAACCTCAACATCAAGAAAACAAAAATTCTCAATACTGAGCGAATCAGTAGCACCATGATAGATGGAGAAGAGATTGAGGTTGTTCACAATTGCAGCTTGCTTGGTTCCACAATCAACACTCTTAACACCATCAGTCAGAAAATCAAAAGACTAATTGCATTAGGTAAATCTGCTGTCAGGGATCTCTCCAGAGTACTGAAAAGCAACAGTGTCAGTCTGGAGACTAAGGTGCACCTGAGGCTATGAATCAGAGAGCTGGACAATGACTAAAGATGACAGAAGAATTGATGCCTTTGAGTTGTGGTGCTGGAGAAGAGTCCTGAACATACCATGGACCACGGAGAAAACAAATAGTTCTGTCTTGGAGAGGGTGAAACTAAGTTTTTCATTGGAGGCTAGGATTTTGAAGTTCTGTCTCACATACTTTGGGCACACGGCCAGGAAGGACCAGTCCTTGGTGTAGGACTTCATACTTGTAAGGGTGGAGGGGACAGTGCAGGAGAGGAAGATCCCAGATGAGATGGACTGATACAGTAACTGGGGCAATGGTGGTAGGTGTGTCGGAATCAGTGAGAGTGGCTCAGGAAAGGACAGGCTCCAGAGCTGCAGCACACAGGGTCAGTATGAGTTGCAGACGACTTGACAGAACTTAACAACAACATGAGTCGGACTGCCTCAGGATCAACAAACAACTATTGTTGTTGCTGTATATCATCAAGTCAAAACCAAAACAAAGCGGACCTTCCTACTACCAAGCATCATATTAAAACACTTGGATAACAGAAGTCAGATAGTTAAAGATTTCACCTTAGGATGTATTATGAGAAAAAGATAAATAGAGGCATGAATGCATAATCAATTAATTGTTCTTATAGACATGGGCCTTTTAAAAAAACAAGCAGAAAAATGAGATTGAAGAAAATACCATAATTTAGTATTACTAATATCTAGAAAATTCTAAAATAATTCTTTATAAGATAGGAACTATATTTTAAATGAATATTCATCTGGTTTAACCCCAGGTATTATCATAGCACAAGTAGTAACAAAACTGGTATTTACTAAGCTAGGTATTGTTCTAAATGCTTTACCCATAGCCTAACTCATTTAAAGCTCACAACTAGTATTTATTTCCATTTTCTCTATAAAACCTAAGAGTTAAACTGATAAGAACAGATACTACACTTGATCTTAGCCAAAAGGCCGAGAAGCGATACTAATTGTGCCTCAGCCATGTGACCATTTCTGCCAGTGACCAGTGATAGACCAGGATTTGGGCTCACTTCTTAGCTCCAAAGTTTGCCCTCAGAACCACTCCAGGAACTGCCTTTGGTTTCAGAGATTTTAAAATCTCAGAGCTGTCAAGTCAGCTCCCACTGACTGCCATCTCCTTCATCAGAGACCTTTAGGTTTGCAGTACAACTCACACCAGACTACACACCTGTGGTGTTAAGGGTTTATTGTGTAAAATGGCTTTCCTAGCCATTAACAATTTTGACTTTGCATGGCAGATAGGTGGAAGTATGTGAACAAGGTATGTTAGCCTATCTATAGGGGGCTGGCTAGTCTCACCACTAATCTGACCAGATTGAGCAGCACTTTAGAATCTTACCGCCAGCTAAGAAGCAGGAGAGAATGCAGTGTGCCCTATGGAACCAAAGATTCTTGGGTCAGCCAGACCTACAGGAAAGCAGTAGACAGAGCTGACCTTGGGACAGCTGCCCCACCGACCAAGACCTAGAAGCATTCACCTAAGCTTGCTGGGAGGACTGAAGGTAGGACTAAATGGCAGGAATGGAAGACCCTTATGAGATGGATTGACTCAAGTCACTGGCATAATAGGAATAGGTGTGTCGGAGACAATAAGATTGGCAAGATATAGAGGAGACTTAAGGGATGTTGTATACAGCGTCACTATGAATCACAAATGATTCGATGGCACATAACAACAACAACAAAGAACTTTTTAACACTGACAAAGCTAAAGGCTCTCCTGGCTGACTGCATTCTGCTACCAATCTTAATTATAGCCTTTTTTACTTCCCTAATGTATGGTTCCGAATACTTTGTGAGCTATTAAAATGGATTTTGGACCCAGTAGAGCAGTAAGACTAGTGGTGGAATTAGTAGAAAGAGGTATGGGAGTTGGAAGACATGTCTGACTCATGGGAATTGGTTTTGTGCTGTATATGATGATGATGGGGCACTTCCTCCTTGTGAAGCACTTAATAGAGGTCAGACACGACCATTCCCACATGGCCTTGTCTCTTTTTACACCAGTAATGCTCCACTGCTTCAAGATACTGTTTTATCTTCTTTTACGCTATAAGTCTCCTTGAAATGCAATCAAATTACCTAATAAGTACAATTATCTAGTAAGTATATACCTGAATACGTTTTTCATCATCTTCCCTTTTCTTTCTCTCTTCTTCTTCTTGTTTTCTCTTTGCTTCCATCTCGAGCTTCCTACCAACAAAAGAAAACTCTTTAAAAATGTAACAGAAATTAAGAAATCTTTCAGAAGGCTGCTTAACCATTAATTTTAAAAGGTTATGGAATGGAACTCACACTAATCTCCTCATTATACATATTATCAATTTACTCTGAATAAGTTAAAATCTAACTCTATTAACAAGTAATTTTTCTGAAACATAGCAAATGTGATTTTTTTACAACCTTTAAAAGCTACAGATAAATTGCATTACAGACCTAAAATGTAAGGCCTCGACTATATATGTTTCTTAGAACTCTTTCTCTAACTAAATTATTTTCATATTTCTTCTATGACAAAATATTCCAGAAATGTATTCATTTTTAAACTACAGAGAAATAGACATGCTCTTTGTCCTAGCTTTTAAAATAGTATACAAGTTTGAATTTTTAAAAATTAGAAATCGTAGGGTGCTCTGGTGGCCTAGTGGTAAGAAGCTGTACTGCAATCCCAGAAGTATGTGGATCAAATCCACCAGATGCTCTGCTGGAGAAAGAGGGACAATCTCCTCCGGTACCAGTCAGATCTGATTTGACAGTACACACA